ATAAAGGAGCATGACGGCTTTTGCATGGATTTGGCTGCAGAATTGCGTACACTCCAAGACCCAAAGCTGGTATCATTTTTGAAATTCAAGATACAGGAGTTGATGTTTCAGGCAAAATGTGGGATTCTACAAGTACCACTTCCATTGGCGGCAGCTCAGCGGCAAAATCATGCCTATGAATTTCCATATCAACAACATTATCATCAACTGCAACTGCCACAATATTCTACTTCCAGCCCTCTTGAATCATGGTCTTCGTGCAGCCTAAATGACAACAGCCGCGAGAACTAAGTTGATCTCTCCTGACAGAATTTTGCAATACAATATAGAAGCTGACTAAAACTGAGGTTGAAATAAATCTAATTTGAGTTATCTCTGTTCTTCTGTACACTTACCTTCAAAAAAATTGGTTTGAGGATCTTTGTGATCGCTGCACACACTGCTGGCACTATTAATGATTGCGTGTATACTGGTATCCGAGAGGAGTACATCGGATCATGGTAGGTTGATCCTAGAAAAATTATGAATACATGCTGTCAAAATGCCTGCCAGACGTTATTGCTGCTATACGACGAGCTCACACTCAAACTAAAGAACAATGTTTCCATCAATTTACTGGTTACGTGTAATACCTTGTAAAACATGATAAGCTTTTGTACTTACCGGAGGCAAGATATCTCAGGGTGAGAGCTAGGAACGACGAGCTCACACTCAAACTAAAGAACAATGTTTCCATCAATTTACTGGTTACGTGTAATACCTTGTAAAACATGATAATCTTTTGTACTTACCGGAGGCAAGATATCTCAGGGTGAGAGCTAGGCGAAGCTTGGCTGGGATGGCTTCTCTCATGACAGTGTCCTGCTTCTGGATATCATGTTCAACCAGTCTTAGTAATTCGGAAAAAGTAGCCGTATGCATACGCAGAAAATTGCAGTAGGAAGACAAATCTTCAAGACGAAGTTCTTCGAGTAATCTTTCCCATCCTCCTTCAGATCCACTTTCTCACCCAGCATCTAGGTCCTCTGTCCTGTCTTTTCCACAACTCAGCAAATATGAATACAATTATAAGATTTAGCCCTACTCCAGCAAGTAAAATTGACAGAACTTTGTCAAGTACTTCATCAACCTCCATTTCCGTAGCCTGTTTTTCCACAACTGCTGGCGAGAAAGAAGAATGCACGCCTCGTGTAAACAGTTCGCTCTCATGAGTGCATGCACTCCTGCAATCTACTCCTGAGTGGCACTCCCGAGTGATCACTCCTCGTCTAAACAGGCCTTAACTCTCAGCAGGGTGTCTCAGAAGTTGCGAACGAATGTAAATTGCATTTTCTCTTCACCCATCGCATGCATCGAAACGATCTATACAACATTGAAAGCAGAGAATTGGGGAAATCTCATTGATATCTGGCTCACCGGGCACGAATCACTATTGACAGGAGTGGTGACGACTTTTCTGAACAACACTTTCATTTTAACATTTTCATCGGCGCAGCGAAGTGAGAAGACGATGTGAAGAAAGGAAATAAGGAGTGATCCAATATCGTTTTTTCTTAGCATTTGTGTTTTGACTTTTTCATTCTGGCGATGGATTGAGAAAAACAAATCCAATCGAAGAATTCCTATCATTGCCAGACGACCGGTTAATACCATATATATGTAGACACGGAAAATCGTTGATGGCCATCATAGCCATTTACATTATGGCCCACGAATCATTTTTATTGCACAAGGAAGGATGGAAGTTCAGTCAAAGCATAGTTTTAATATTGTGCCTATCCGCGATTCCATAAGAGAAAAGTAAAGATTTGCAAATATTCTACGGATAAAAACTCAAGGGGTAATTACCAAAAATAATAAATTTGGCAAGGGAAGGAAAAGTTTATGAGTCTTAAGAACGGGAACGCCTTACATCCTATCACCTCCTTCACTCTTGTTCCACCACGTTAGAAGTCTATTTCCACATCGTACCATGTCTACGGCGTTGAATGATTCCAACTTTCCAGGTTCTTAGATGACATTTAATATCGGTTTCTCAGGCATCGATGACTGTGGTCCGATCCGGGAGTAAAATCGGCAGCTGAGGACTCGGTGGGTGGAGACACACGCGAGGAACGTCACCCAATCGTCACGGACTTCAATGGATTGATGGAGATCCAGGAAAATGGGAGGAACGAATCATCGCGCCGTTCTTCCGCCTATAGTGTCCCAGTTCCTTCAGAAGGCGAAGATAGCCATGCCGATCCCGACGAACCAAGAGATTAAATAGCCTTGCATCACGGTCAGAGTCATGATCACGGCCGAATCCGGAGGAGGGTCGTCCCATGGTGAATAATCTTTGTTGGTCCCATAGGACGAGATCATGGAGTCATCCCACATCTTTTAAAAGAGGCCAACCTGTTCGAGTCGAAGCAATAAGCTATCCACAGTAACTCTCAGCACGCCCTATTTTCGGATAGGCGAAGCCGATGTTATAGCAAAGTAAACCATTTTTGGCGATCCGAAATTTTTTGCGTCCCATAAGGTTTCGAAGATAGTAGAGGTGAAGTTTTCGCTCGATGAAAGCGTATTGATCCTTCCTGCTCGTGAATTCCTGCTCGACAACCAGAGCCGATGTCGTGAACCAGTCTCTGGTCGGATTGATCCTGATCATGCTCCGCTGTAGTTCTCGAAACTGGGGATCATCGGAATTCCGGATGATTTTGTCGGTGCTTTCTCCCCAAAGCACCTTTCCATATGGCAATCCGCTGGCTAGCAAGTCTTGGACCGAGTCGATGGGTTTCTCGAGTGGAGGTGAGTTGAGGAACGAGACGAGACTGGATACCACGCCGCGGTGATGACGATGGGGAACATATTGAAGAAAAACCAGAACATACGGGAACCTTCGCCATGAAGGTTGGGGTAGTTGTTCACTAACAAAAGCGACAAGAGGGAATCGAAAATAGAAAGAACGAAGCTCGTTCGGTGTGGCCATCCTCGAAATCGGAGTCAAGCGTTATTAAGAAAATGCATCACTGTGCCCGTGACGATGCAGCTTAGAAAGAGCAAACCCCACACCAGAAGCTGGAAGGGTTTAAAAACGGACGTCCATAAAGGTATGGTGGAACTTGGTCGAGTCATGATGCTCAAGCAATCTGATCTTATAGGACGAGAAAAGTGCGAGTATCGTTCGCTTTCTTCCGTTTGGAAAAGGGCCGACATGGCAACATCGGCACGGCCATCGAGAACCGTCGCGATGAGGCCGATTCCTTTTCCATTCTCGTCCCATTGGAGTCCCCATATCTGCTCCGGGCTTTCCATCAACCGATAGGTGAAGTTGAGTTTCTCGGAAACCGCGAACAAGACTCGAGTCTCGAACCCAGTTCGACCGATGCTCATGGTGTTCTCGGATTCGTTATTCTCGCTCCAGTTGTAGATGACGTAGGGTATGTATTCGAGGACGGCGTCAGTGAACTCTTGACCGCCAAAGTCTCTCACTTCGTCGTGAAAGAGGTAATCCGATAATTGCACAGATTTCAAAGTCTCGCAGAAAGTTCGATTCGGTTTTCCTCGTCACCGGAGGGTTCGATTGCTGTCGGTGGTGTAAATACGCGACTACGCAAGTTCGTATAAGTCTAGGTTCGCGAAATTTTCCTCAACTTGTTCCCAATCGTGCTCAGAAATGAGGTTCAAATTGAAATAATCAGACGGAGAGAGGTTTTGAAGTAGATGATCGACATGAACAAATTCCAAGCAGGCAACCCTCTGCAGAAAATATTCGTTATCGCCCACTGATCCACGATGTATTCCCCACTTCGAGATCGTAAATCTGATGCTCCCACTCTGGCACTAAATTCTCGCAGTCGCACTCGAAGTAACTCGAGATGCAGTCCTTCGACATCCAATCGCATTCGAGAAACAGACCGACCAAGGAAACACATTCATGTGGAAACAAAATTGAAGCAATGTTTCATGTCAACATTTATAATGTTGGAGCAACATTGACGGCAATATTCATACAACATTCCTCAATGAGTCCCTCGTGATTGGGTTTCTCCATGGATATAGTAGAGGTAAATTCATCAAAATGAATAGCATGACCGATGGATGTTTAACTACATAAACAAAAGAGGATAAATTCTCTTCAAAATCTATAGGTCACAGAGTACTGTGAAGTTTGAGAGGATGGGTCCTCTTCATTTCTGCAAACAGCACCAAAGTCTCGTATACCTAACTGGATTGAAAAATGAGGATAAATTCTCTCAACTCCTCTCTTAGTAGGTTTGTGAATGGATCACTTCACGTTATTATTGTGTGTGCTCTACATGTCTCCAATCGTCTAGATTTCTTTGCGCCCACACTAAACCTAACGACGAGCTTACACTCAAACTAAAGAACAATGTTTCCATCAATTTACTGGTTACGTGTAATACCTTGTCAAACTTGATTAGCTTTTGTACTTACCGGTGGCAAGATATCTCAGGATGAGAGCTAGGCGAAGCTTGGCTGGGATGGCTTCTCTCATGACTGTGTCCTGCTTCGGGATAGCAGGTTCAACCAGTCCTAGTAATTCGGAAAAAGTAGCCGTATGCATCCGCAGAAAATTGCAGTAGGAAGACAAATCTTCAAGACGAAGTTCTTCGAGTAATCTTTCCCATCCTCCTTCAGATCTTCGATGAATCCACTTTCTCACCCAGCATCTAGGTCCTCTGTCCTGTCATTTCCACAACTCAGCAAATACAATTATAAGATTTAGCCCTACTCCAGCAAGTAAAATTGACAGAACTTTGTCAAGTTCTTCATCAACCTCCATTTTCGTAGCCTGTTTTTCCACAACTGCTGGCGAGAAAGAAGAATGCACGCCTCATGTAAACAGTTAGCTCTCATGAGTGCATGCACTCCTGCAATCCACTCCTGAGTGGCACTCCCGAGTGATCACGCCTCGTCTAAACAGGCCTTTATGGACATACCGTCTCTCCTCTTCGCGTCCTGCACTTTCCACGTACCTTGCTTCTGCCCCGTGTCTTCATGTTAGTCGTTCTTGTCCGTTCTCGTCGAGCGATCTTGCGTGTCGAATAGGATAACATCGGATGGTACAGGTATCATGGGGTGACAGTGTGACATCGATGAAACTTGAAAGGCTGAAAATGCTCGACGGCGACGCTTGGGACTTCGTAAGTATCGTCGCGCCGAGTTGAAATATTTCCCCCCCCCCCCCTCGATTTTGAAAACAAGGTGTTGAAAGACTTGATGTAAACAAGTGAAGTTGAAATGAGATGAAAGCGGTTTTATCCCAGGAAACCCACTAGTTATGGCACGGGATTCCTTCCGATTCGTCACCGTCCATCCACGGCCACTCGTGTGAGTCACCTAGCGACCCTTTACCCCTCGATGTCCCGAAGAAACGGGACATGACGCCTGAGCCTCTCGTAGATGAAGAAATTTCGAACCGTACGAACGACGAGGAACGGTGTCCAAGGTGTGGTAACGTGAAGGATGGAAAGATGAAAACGTTAAGCATCGACTATTACTTCGTGACCAAGGTCTGCAGCGACTCAAGAGTGTCTCTGGCCCTCGCCCTTGCCCTTGGCCACCGGGAAGGTCCAACTGTGGGAATGCAACATGGCCTTGCCCGCATCGCTGCCGATGCGATTCCATTTGGGCAGACTCGACCGTACGCTTTCCGATTGGGCATCTCCGTCGAGTGAAAGTGGTTACCTGACCGTGCCGTCTCCGACCACGAATGACTGCCATCGAACCCTCTCCCTTCCGAGTTTCCATGGAATAGAGGAGTCCCTGTCGTTTTTAGCGACACTTGGGGGCTCTGAACCTTTGCATCCTCAAGTAACATCGGGAGGCCTGGAACTCTCCCTTTCAGCAACAACCGAAAACATTCAACTTTCAAGTACGACTATCACAACCGATCTAGAAGACTCCGACTTGAGTCAACTTATCGATGAAATTCTCTCCTCCGATGACAGAAGCAAGGTCTCTCCTGATGATGTGGCGACCTTGAACGACCTCGAATCCTTCCTCCGTGTTCACGACGACCCCATCACTTGGAATCCGCCGTCCTCCTACGTCGACCTCGAGCACGCCTTCCACCCCGCCGTGTTCCACGGCGCACCCGAAAGCCCAACCACCTCCGACAGTCGTTGCAGTCTGATGGAGAGCGAGGAGACCCGAGACTCTTTGAATCTCCGAGCGCAAGGCGACCGGTCGGTGCCGCCCGAGACACCAGCAGCAGCAGACGAAAGCGACCCAGCCGACCTCCCCCCTTTCAACATCCTCGAACGCGTCGAAAGGGCGGAGATCCCACCTTACGCTTTCGTGGATTCGGACGCTCTCGAGTCAGGTGCGATTTCAATGCTCGAGAAAAGGGCTTGCCGGGCCGCGCAGATGGCTGACGAAGTCAAGCAATACGATCCGTTTGGGCCGGGTATATCTTTTGCCCCCGCGTATTCAAAGCACAAACGCAGAAAGCGATCGCAGAAAAAGAAACCCCTGGATGCGGATTATCGCTATACAGCGCGAAGATGGATCTAGTTTTCGTATCGTGATTCCTTCAACTCGTGAGATTCCATGCTTTGTGGCGAATGATTTATTTTCCGGTTTTTGTTTCCTAACTCATTCCTCGTACTCAAAGGGGATGTTGTCAAATTCATCAATGCAGAAAAAGTATCGTCGCACTTTCATCCATCACAGGTGCACAGCTTGTCCTGCAGCACCGGTCGAACGTGGATTTTATATGTTATTTTATCATTTTCTTTTTTTATATGTCTAGGCCAGGGGTGTGCAACCTTTATCGGCAGTGGGCCGCATGGAAATGTCTGAGCCTCACGCGGGCCATAGAACGCAAAAGCAAAGGCTTCCCTCTTTTGCCCTCAGGGCATACGAAGGGATAAGGTCGCGATTAATGGCCGATGACTCCTAGGAAATTCCCTTAGGAAATTCCAACGCCCAAATATGGCTCTTGGCATGGAGAACCTCCTTCCTCGTGACATTTGTAGCACCGCCCGCGTGAGGAATAATTAGGGGAAGGAAGTAAAAGGACTCAGTCTATTTAAATAAATAAATAGGCATAAAAATAACATAAGATTAGAAATTATGTAAGTTTTCGTGTGGGCAAGACATTGAATGCAAATTTTGCAATCGCAAATTTTCCCAGATAATAGAAAGAAGTGCAGAGAAATTTGCAGTGAGACCAAATGTCGCCGAACCACAGCTAATTTCCGTGAAAACTTTGTTTCAGGTCGCCGATAAGATGGCGCTTCGGCTGCAGCTCAGCTTCTCATTCAACGCTCGCCTTGTGATAGCCTGTTTTTCTGAGTCTATTTTCATGACATGTTAATAACATTTTCTCGTGTTCATTTATTTTTATAATGGAGAGATGTGTATGGAATTGAACAGAAATGAAAGATATGATGAAATAATTACTTGAATTGAAAGAATGAGTAAGGCAAAAAAGAAAGTGCATTTTTCTATTATTTCACTCGAGTCAGACATTTTCCCGCTGGATTTGTCGAAGCCAAGGGGAAACTCGTACACGAGTTCCACGCACGACCGTCCGAGTCGAGCGAAGAACACAACCGATCCAGTCGCACGCGAATGCAGGAGCCACAAGAGCGTGGATCTCCCGCGGCGACCTCGAGCATGCGGATTATAGATTCCTCCGAGAATCCAGAATGCCCACGTCCTTTCCACTCCCCGTGAAACGGCCTTAAGGCGAAAGCGAGGCTCTGACGGGGAAGTGGCACCCCATCGATGACTCCCCCTGCCCATTGATCCTTTCCGCGATACTATTCTTGCCCTTGGGCCCACTCTGACGGATAGTGCGCTCAAGGTCATCAAGGTCACATGCGCTATGACAATGACAGAAGAGATCGACCTTCGAACTGCAGCTCTTCATAATTTTATGCGGTGTTACCAACGTATGTATCTTGGTTACAAACCTTTTTTTCCCCATTTGGCTGGATTGCCAAACGTTCGAAATATCGACGCCCTACTGTACTGAACTGCATTCAACAATCACCTGTCCCGTTTACGCCATATCAAGAGTTCACTTTCCCTGTCCCTAAATTGCATCATCCATGAAGCATCTGGTGGAGACTCGATCAGATTCGTCTGTCGTCTCGATTTCCAATATCGCATAAATGAATGCACGACATGTCATGATTATCACGACCAGCATTACCATATTGGGAGCATCATGAATGAAAGGCAAAAGGCGTCGACTGCAGGTTCCGACAGTCTCTTTTTCAGTGCGTGACTCGTTTAGTTAAGTCTTATTATGTGGTTTTTTTTTTTTAAAGCGGACTTCCCAGCATATACGTGACAACTTACGTAGTCAAAATCAGGAACGTTTTCAGTGCAAAGGAAACGGTGCAAAAAAGCAGAAGGAAGAGTTGAAGGGAGTGCAGATTTAAGGAGAAAAGTGGCAGATTCTTCTTCAATCTTCATCGATGATCTGCGTGCGAATTTGAAAACCGCCATAAAAAATTTTTTGGCATGAGCATCTAGAGCGAAATCCTTCTGCATCCGATTCGCGTGTCCGCAAGCCTAATTTCACCCTGATCAGAACTTTTTTTATTTTAAATCATTGTTGGGGAAAGAAAGCGGAAACAGAATGACAAAGTCTCATTGAAACCGCAGAGAACCTACAGCTTTCATCAATGATATAAAATCCGACTTTTCTCACCGTCGACAAAACTCGCGATGGGACGAGTCAGTTTCTTCCAACCATTCCCGCCGTTCTTCTCGAGACTCAAAATGAAGAATAGGGTATTCCCCCGCCTTCTCCCAGGACCCATTCCCGCCCGATCGAGGACTTGAAGAGGAACCAAGGCGAAAGCGGACGCCCGATTTCATTGCAGGCAGGAGGTGGAGTGGACGCCGCGAGACCGGCTACCGCTCCATCTGGTTGGGCGGGGAGGCAATCTCTTCCCAGCTTCCCGGAGAGAAGATGTCGCAGCATCCCTTTCCGATCTAAGGCATGCCTCCGAGCGAGTGCAGCGTACTCGAGAAACCTGTTTCGATGCCCAAGGCTTGGCTCGCCGAACGACCCGGAATGACGTGCATCGTCTGTTCATTCCATTCATTCCAGTTTGGAAAACCTTGGGACGGGAGCTCGGCTCGAAATTAATTTCCATTGCATTTGACTTTAAAATACTTCATTCCATTAAGATAGCCAAATGAAATGCAATAGCAATGCAGAAGCACAGTCACGTCCACCACGGACCTCCTGCCTGTCTCCATCCTCACTCATCGATTTCCTCCTTCAATCCTGAAAATCCTTCAATTTTGCTCATTTTCTTTCCATTCCAGACATCGTACGGAAAGCTACAAAGAAGACGTCATATTGGACTGACCTTTGCTTCCTTTATTACATTTTTTTTTAATATTCGCATCGGCCCAGGTTTTCCATCTTTTTTTTTTTACTCTATCTGCGATCCGAATTCAACTGCGTACGTTTCACACCCCTCATCAACGATCTCAAGCAAACTCGTCATTTACTCGTGAAGATCCCAGCACGGCGTGAGCTTGAGAGGAAAGGGCTATTTCAGCGTCACACTGTGGTAGGTCGACAACTCGCTGGCGCTAATGGACGCTGAAACGATCCAATTATCGCCACCGCGTTCGTTTCCACTCGAGAACAGGAAAGGCAATTGGAATTCTCAGCGCAGCTCTCCATTGCGCATGC